TTCAAAATTCACGGGGCGGGGGTTGAAAACCAGCTCCTGAATGTGCAATTTCTAAAAAGTTTCCATCTCAATAAAATGCGAGCGCATACAGCACACGCCGGCATTAAAACGCCATTAAAAATCTTTATGAGCAAACGTGTCCAGATATCAGATGTGTATCCGATTAAAATCCACATTTGGAAGTGGCTCAGATCTGATGCAAAAAAATCGGATCTCGTGCGGGTTTTTGTGTTTACACGTGTGCAACAAATTCCGATCTGTGTCAGATGTGAGCGAAAGATCAGAATTTTTGTGCCAGTGTAAACGCAGCCCTAGTCTCAGGTAATCCTGTGTGTTCTCATAAAGTCCTATTGTGAGACAAGTCTTTTTCACTTCTCTTTATGGTAAATCTCATCATGTCTGTTCTTGTCTCAACTCTCGAATCTTATGGTGTCTCTCATCTCGTTCTGTCACGTCTTCTCTTCTTGTCTCTTCTCATCTCATGCTGTTTCCTTTTCTTTGTCTTCTAGCCACTCTTGCCACTCTTCCTCATTTAGTGTCATCTATTTTCATCTTCTCATCTAGTCTTCTCTGACGTCTAGTCTGTATAGTCTGTATCTTCTCATTTAGTCTCATCTCATCTTTTCTCATTACTGTCATCTAGTTTCTGTTGATACTGTCTCATCTTATCTAGTCTCTTCTCCTCTGTCATAGTCTGTTCATTTTTTCACTTCTCATGCAGTCTCATCTCATTTCATCTCATAATTTATCTTCTTCTCTGTCATCTAGTTTCGTCTCATCTCATCTCTTCCCTTATATTCTCCTCTTTTCTTCTTTGTTGTCTAGTCTCACTTCATGTTTTTTTTATAATGTCTCGGACCTCTCATTTAGTCCTCCTTTCTCTGTCATCTAGTTTCAGTTTATTATGTCTCGTCTCATCTAGTCTCTTCTCATTTAATCTCAGATCTTCCCATCTAGTCTCCTCTCTTCTTCTTTGTCATCTAGTCTCAGTTCATCCATTCTCTTCTCATCTAGTCTCATCTCATATTTTCTCATTTAGTCTTCTGTTCTCTATCTAGTCTCAGTTCATTCTGTCTTGTCTTGTCTCATCTCATCTAGTCTTATCTCATCTGTTCTCATTTAGTCATTTCTATTCTGTGTCATCTAGTCTCCATTCATTCTGTCATGTCTCATCTAGTATCATCACATCTCATCTCTTCCCATATATTCTTCTCTCTTCTTCATTGTCATCTGGTCTCAGTTCATCTTTCTCTTCTTACGTAGTCTCATCTTTTCTTATTTAGTGTTGTCTCATTTTATCTCATTATTTATCATCTAGTCTCCTCTTCTTCACTGTCATCTACTCTCAGTTTATCCTGTCTCTTCTTTTGTAGTGTCATCTCATTTTATTTCATTATTTCTCATCCAGTTTCCTCTTCTCTGAGAAAAGGTCTCAGTCCATCCTGTCTCTTCTCATCATGTCTTTTCTTGTCTCTTCTCTTCTCTTCTCTTCTTGTCTCTTTGCTCTTCTCTCCTCATCTCGTCTCATATTATCTGTGTCATGGGTCCAGCACTATAACTTCTCTTCCTCATCACATCTTCGGTGTCCCCTGAGCCAGTGATGGTGACAGAGTCATAGACTGTAATAGTGTC